TAAACTGTAAAGCACTGATAACCATAATGCTTTCAAACTTTACTCCTTTATAACGGCAGCTAGTATTATGAATATGTAATAGGATAAAAAGTGCATACAGTAAGAGGGCAGAATACACTATACTGTGTAGCAGTAAATTAAGTACATGGCTCCAGAGGCAAAAAAGCGCGAGTTTAAATTACCGTGTGACTCTAAACAAGTACCTGAACTTTGTGCCAGACTGTCTTCACTTGCAAAATGGAGGTCTCCTTACCTCTCAGAACTTGGAAGTAATAGAAAACTATCAACAATGCATACACATGCAGGTGTAGTGGCAGCAGCAGTGGTCGTAATAAAAGTAACCTATTTATGTTTAATCAAGCAGTATTTAAGGAAAGACAGAAGGGCTAGGCTCCTAAAAATTGTGTCTCAGGGGTTGCTGGGTGGCTCATCGGAGAAGCATCCAACTCTTGGTGGCTCAGGTCATGATCCCAGGGTTGTTAGATGAGCTGGCAGGGCTCCAAGCTCAGTAGGGAGTCTGCTTAATATTCTCTCTTCTCCCTCTCCCTCTCCTCACCGTGACCATCTCAGGCTGTGGCTCTCTAATTAATTTAGAAATCTTGAAAAAAAAATCTTGAAAAAAAAAAAGTGTCTCATTTCTTTCAACTGCAGAAGGAAATAAGTATAATTCCCCCTATTATACCAATAAGGAAAGGGGAGGTTCATTTGGCTAGATTACTCAGTAAGTGGCAGAACTTAGCTGTGAGCACTAGTTTATACAGTTACAAAACTTGGCTTCTTTCCCCTACACAACATTAACTCCCCAGCACTATATAGCAGCAGGAACACAAAACTATGCATTCTGTTTTTTACTACTAACCTCACAAAATCTGGTAACATCATTAAGTCTATCTGCCTCTCCATCGTCTGAAAAATTAAGGAGTTTTTTTGAATTTGATTTGATTTTGAGGTTTCCCTCCGGCTAAAAAAGTCTATGATTTTATTAAGTTACCCATTTAGTGATGTAAAAACTCATAAAAAGTTTCAAAATACAGCAGAAAACCTTCTCTATTTGTTTAGAAAACAAAAACAGAAAAAGTGAACACACACACACACACACACACACACAAAGCTTAAAATTTTTTTCCAGGACTTCACATTAGCAAAAAGAAATAAATGTTAAAGAAAAGACCAACATCTAATTTCATTTTATTATAGCAAGTATGACTAAGCAAATGCTTGAGAGAACAAAATATCAATCTTAAGTATTTCAAGATGCCAATTTTAACACCTACATTTTCAATGGGGGGAAAAAACCGCAAAACTCAGAGCCCTGACACATCCACAGACCTTATAATCAAATAACAAGCAGATTTACCAACTTTTATTTCACGCCAAAAACACTGCAACCAGGCTGGGGTTTTGTCTGTTTTCATGTCCATCTGAAAACTGTCATGCACTAAAACGCCTCACTGGCTTCCCACTATCTTTCAATTAACATCCAAAATCCTTAACATGACTCAACAAAGTCCTGAATGATCCTGCTCCTCTCTGGAGCTATCCTTAGCTCTTTTTTTCAATTTCTTTCATTTCCCCCAAGACACTTTTTTCCTTTCATTTTAAGGCTTTCATAAATCTGTTCTTCAAAACCTAGAATGCTTTCACAGCTCTCCCACCGTTTCGCCCTAGCAAACTGATCCTCATCCTTTTAAGCTAAGATCAAATGTTATGCCAGCAAAAGCCTTTCTTGACCTTCCAAACATACATTTCACAGCACTCTGGACTTCACAATACTCAAAGATCTTATAATTACTTGTTCAACATTTGTCTTCCCTGCTAAATGGTAAACAATATGAATACAGTTATTTCAGGTCGTTTCCCAATATCCCCAGTATCTAACACACCACAAAGTACAGATTAAGGGGGCGCCTGGGTGGCTCAGTGGGTTAAAGCCTCTGCTTTCGGCTCAGGTCATGATCCCAGCGTCCTGGGATCGAGCCCCGCATCGGGCTCTCTGCTCAGCAGGGAGCCTGCTTCCCCCTCTCTCTCTGCCTGCCTCTCTGCCTACTTGTGATCTCTCTCTGTCAAATAAATAAATAAAATCTTTAAAAAAAAAAAAAAAAAAGTACAGATTAAGTACTCTATGCTTGCTGAATTAACATTGAAAATGCAGGGGAAGTCCAAAACCATGAGATATTTTACTAGCACAGGTAGCTAGAAAGTTCCATACAAGTTTTGAGTTACATCTTAACCTTGGGCCTTCAAATGTCCTCCCTTCAAATAAGTGCTATTTGGCAATTACACCTTTAAAGTAAAGCAAAAAAATCCCTTTAGATAACACATCCTAAAGTTTCACAAAACCAAGGCTAGAAACCACAAGTCTTAAGCAATTGGAATCAGCTTTAAAAGTCATAGAGAACTCACCTAAAATGCAATGAAAGGACAGGAACTTGGATAAGGGCTCAATTTTACCACAGCAATGTACATTATGAAAGGACCAATCCCAATTCCTACCACTGTCTAGGCTGTACTAGCAGCCTTATTTATCCTAACAGTAATGACTGCAGTGCTACAGTCATCTAAGTAGGCTATAAGATATCTGAAACATACTCTATTAAAAATGAATAAAAGTCACAAGCATACACTACGTAACTATAACCTTCTTTTAGGTTACAGTATAACATATAGAGATGTTAAATCACTATGTTGCTTACCTGAAACTAATGTAACATTGTGTGTCAACTGTAACTCAAAAATTTCTTTAAAAAGGAATGCTATTTAAACTCAAAAATCTTTTTTTACACTTTCTGTTCATATAATACCTATTGAGTGCTAATTACAAACCAGGCAGTGTCTAAAGATTAATACGTATTATTTCCCCATACAGATGAGGAAACGGGAGGCACTAAGTTAAGTAATTTACCCAATATTATATAGCTGGTAGGTGGCAGAGGCAAAATTCAAAGTCAGCCATTCTGACTCTGAAGTTCATCCACTAAACCACTACAACCACTGTTGCACTCTCTCTCTCTCCATCCACTGAAATGAGGCTTCTATCTGGACCATCTCACTTCAATGAAACTATTTTGCTAAAGTCACCAATGACTCCTACCTATCCCAACTTAAGGGCCACTTATCTGCCTCTACCCTTTTCATCCACTCTGTAGCATCTCATCAAATTGACAACCCGCCTCTCTTGCCATACATTTGTTTCTTAAGTACCATAAATCTCAGTCTTGAGATCTACCTCAAATGTGGGCCCTCATTTCTTCCCTATCAACATTCTGACTAGGAAATCTCCCACAATTCCGTAGTTTCAAATACTCTCTGCAAGACTCTTTCTTTCTCTAGTCCTACGTGAGTTCTAGACTCAACCCAACCACCTCTTAAATATCTAACTTGAAGGTGTAACAAACACCAACTACCTTTCCTCCTCCCCTCAACCTGTTCTCCCCCAGCCTTCTCCATCATCACCCACCCAGCTGTTTAGGCTCACTTCTTAGTCATTATCCTTGATTTCCCTTTCCATTATCTCCCACATCCACTCCCAACAGCAAGTTTTATCAGATCTACTTATAAATCATATTTTGTTCTGTCTCCATTACCATTCTAATATAAACGACCTACATTTCTGCCTACCGTGCCCTTCAGAATAGTCTCTTCATTCTTGCCCCCTTAATCTCCGCAAAGCAAGCGGTGTTAAAATCAAATCAATCCCTGCTTGCTTTAAATTATTTAAGGTCTCACTGTATTTTAAATAAGATCCTAGGTCTTAACCATGACCTCACAAATCCTAAATAATGTGCTCCTGACTAATTTTCCAACCTCCTGTTATTCCATTCTCTCCCCCATCACAATGTTCCTTGCAGCCAGAGTTGCCTTCCTTCTCTTCCTGAACACACCATGATCATATCTGCTAAAGGGCCTTTGCACTTGCTGTTCCTTCTACAAGGAACAGTCTTTCTCCTGACTTTGACACAGATGGTTTCTTCTCCTCCTTAAGCGTTGCTCAAATGCTACCTCCTGTGAGAGGCCTTCTAATCAGTCTTTTATATGACCCTCTATTATTACAACCGTCACTGCTATTTTAATCTGGAATTATCTTATTTCTTTAATACTCATTTATTATTGTCTTCTCAACTTTGGAATTTAAAAGCTCTATCACCAAGGCTTCCCACAATATACAGCAGACACTTAATAAACTTATTAAATGAATGGATTTTCCCTCTTTCATTTTATTGTAAATCAACTAATGATAAAGCACCTGACCCACGATATATTTTGTATGTATTAAAAGTTAAATCCTTAAAACACTCTTATTTTTTCCAATATAAAACATTCCAGCATTCTGAACAACCCCCACACACACACACACACTGAGTCCATCTACAGCACCCCACTTAAACGTGCCAAATATACCATATGGATAAATAACATTTTCTTCCTCCTCTCCAAGCTAACAAATCTGCTAGTGGGAAAAGGGAATCTTACTGGGCAGCTTAGCACCTGTTACATCTTCAATCAGTTAAGAGAGGTGCGGGTGAGCCAGATAGCACATGGGAAACGTGGCCTTTCTTTCGGGGACTATATTTAGGTAAAACGTGAATGGCTTACATTAGAACTGTCCTCATCCCTAACAAGGGCCATTCACTTCATTTAAAGAAACAAGGTAAAACAGTCTGTGGGCAAGAGGTTATGCTCGGATTCACTAAAAGAAAAGAAACCGATTTGGGGGCCCTCACCAAATGTTTGTGTAGATTGGGATCGGTCTACATATAACGGGAAAACAAGAGGAGGTATCATTTGGAGGACCAACTCAGCGGTATGATAAAGGTCAGCTCAGGCTCTCTGGGGAATCCTGAACCTGTAAGCGAGGGTGGAAATGGAGAAAACACAAAACCCGGGGATCTATGTTCACCGCTTCGGCCTCCATCACAGGCACTTCGGGCAACTGCACAGATCTCTGTGTCCGCCTAAATCCCACTTTCATCCCTGCAAGGAGATAGCCCCCGGATACTCACATGGGCTCGAGAGTCTTGCTGAGCCAGGACTTGAGTGCCTCGAAGTTTTCAATGATCATTTTAGAAACCATCCACAGCGGCCCCGAGGCCCGTCACACTCCTCTGCCCGCCCAGGTCGCGGCCGCTACAGCCGCCGCTGCCCCCGCCCCCTCCTCCGCGCGCCTCCCGCGTGGGCCGCGGTGGGAGGCGCCGGTGGCAAGTTCCCGCGAGCCCCGATCAGCGAACAGCTCTGCGGGTACCGTCGCAGGCCGCGAATCCACGGGGTGCCAGGAGCTCCCCGTCCCCGGACCCCGACTGAGGCAGCAACGGTTTGCCCGGGCCCTCCCCCTTCCCTCCACCCGAGCAAATCTTGAACCCGGAGCGCGACACGCGCCTAGATCCGGGCTTTCACTCAGCCTCGGGATCAGGTGGTGTTGGCAACGCAGAACAGGCAAAAGTGAAGAAAGCGAAGACGAAGGGCAGCTCAATGGAAACGATTCGGGGGGTCTTCCCGGCTCCTAGCACCCCCAAGAAGATGGCTGCCGATAAATCTCGCGAGAATTGATGAAGTCTCGCGGTGACTCCCGGTGCCTGCTGGGAAGAGACGTAAGATCGGCGGGGAGCGCGCTGGTTGAGTGCGGTACTTCGGGTTTTTTTTTTTTTTTTTTTTTTTTTTGCTTATTTACGTGGTTCGCGGCCTTTGTGTTTTTATTTTACGCCTTGGTCCGCGTACGGAAATAAAGATTTCCTTTCTTACGAGAAGGGAGAGGCCCCTGATTTCAGAAAGAGTGGGAGTCCCAGTTCGTCCTATGTAATAGATGGCTGTGGCGCATGAGTGGAACGAACCTCCGGACCGGAGCGCTACTTGAGAGCGTCTGCACGTTGTGCTGGGGACTCAGGGCGGCCCGTGGTCTCCAGGTGTGCTGTACTGCCTCCTCCGTTTATCCTGCAGTACCGTACTGTGCGCTGTGGTGTGGCCAGGATTGGGAAGCACAGGCTGGTGTAATCTAACCCTTGGAGACTTCTAGAGGATTGGTGTCTTGTCCAAAATTACTCGCCTTGATTGCAGAGAGGTAATGATCTAGGGCTGCCCCCAAAAGAAAGGTGAGATAACCTCGACGGTTCCGAAATAGTTTTCGAACCATTTGAAACTTCGGACTTTTCCCCCAGCTAAAATAAGAACAGTGTGTTTTTAATTCTCTTCCTTTAGAGCCGATTCAGCCACAGATAGGAAATTAAATAGTGTCAAAAGACCCTTCATATCAGCGTTCTAAATAAATTAACTTCCCTTCTGGGGAAGTTTGAATCCTGTCTGTGTTAATTTATTTGCTATTTACTATGGTTAAGGTACTAGGTGGGATTTTGCGAAAGGTCTAGTGCCTGTAAACTATAATGAAATGAAAATAATTAGCAACATAAAGACATTTAGAATAAGTAGAACAATAAAAAGCTCTCGTGGCAGGCGGTGGTAGACGAAATTGTCCTTAAGAACTCTGCGTTTGTAATTTGCTAGATTGAAGTGTCCTTAAGCAATAAGTGGGAAAGATTATCAAATAAGAAAAGCTAGACATTTGTTTTAAAATACAGCATGTAGAGTAGAATGAAATTAGAATTCAGTCACCGAATCACCCAGATGTTGGTTAAAGTGATTAGCCAAGTGAAATAAGTTAGAAGCAAGAGGACAAATATCATATGATTCTACTTATGAGGTACCTAGAGTAGCCAAACTCAGAGACAGAAAGTAGAATGGTTGGTTGGGTGTCAGTGGTGGGAGAGTAAGGGGTAGGATGGGGAAAGAGTTATTTGGGATGCTGAAAAGTTTCTGGAGAGGAACAGGGTTGACGGTTGCATGGTTAATGAGATCGAATTGTACACTTAAAATGATTAAAACAGTAAATTTTATGTATATTTTATGACAATAAAAGTGATTTTTTAATCTTTTTAAGATTTTATTTATTTATTTGACAGAGGTCACAAGTAAGCAGAGAGGCAGGCCATGTGGAATGGGGGGGATGGTGAGAAGCAAGCTCACCGCTGAGCAGAGAGCCTGATGCCGGCTCAATCCCAGGACCCTGGGATCATGACCTGAGCTGAAAGCAGAGGCTTTAACCCACTGAGCCACTCAGGCACCCCTGATTTTTTAATTTTAATGTTGCTGTGGGAAAAGTAAAATCCTAATTGTTTAGCTTGTTTATTTAAGAGACTTGTCTCGGGCTGACTCCAGGAGGGTTTTCAACTTCATCACCAACTGTTCCTTAAATGTATGTCCCTCTGCTCCTGCCTTCCAAAGCTAACCACCGTTCTACCAATACTGTATACTCTAGGTAAACCGATTTACTCACCCTCTACTTCTCCAAACACTTATCTACATCATTTCCACAAGGAACACCTCCGCTTCTTTCTCTGGTTGCTCAAACCTTACCCACTCTCTCCTAATACCACTGGTACTGTATGTTTGAAGTCTTCTTTGACTTTTCCTAAACAATAGCAACAGCCTTTTAATCTCTGCCTCTTTGGCTGCCCCCATTATCAGTTCATCTTTAGTTGCCTTTATCATCATTGACTTGAATAGCAATCATTGTAAAACTTGCATGTAATCTTGTAACTTCCCTGCTTACAATCTTCATCAACTCCCACGTTGTCTTTAGGATAAAAATCAAAATTTTCCAACATTCTATAAAAGGGCTTTCATAATCAAACCCCTACCTATTTGCCTTAGAAAGTTCTTTCACTCTCTTTCAGGCTTTGCTTCAGCCATCTTGAGCTATTGCATGTTCCTTGGAAGGAGGTGTGTTCCCACACTAAATGGGGCTATTGCGAATGTTTTTTCTTCCCTTTCACTTGATGAAATCAACTCATCCATCATAATTCAGTGTATACAGCCTTCCCTTTGGAAAGGCATCCCTAACCTCCCTGCTCTAAACCAAGAGTCACTCAGATTTTCTCCTGTGCTTGCGTCTGTTACAGCACTCTTGCTTTATTTTTCCAAGTATCTGATTATCTCTCCCTTAGTAACTATAGTTTTGCAGCTCCTGCTCCAAGCAAAGCCCCAATATATTCAATCAGCTCTCAGTTTTTTTAATGATTCAGTGAAGCTCTGCCATTTCAATGAAATCTTCCTTGACCAACGAAGCTGACAATGACCTCTTCCTCCTCTGAATCCATTGTACGGTGCTTGTTATTATTCCATATTTAGTCATCAGTGCTTTGTAGCGTGCTTCTCTTTCTTAACCATTAACATCTATCCCTTATCACTTCAGTACTTCATCTTTGGCTTTGCCTTCAAAAGTGATAATTAGGGGCACCTGGGTAGCTCAGTGAGTTAAGCCTCTGCCTTTGGCTCAGGTCATGGCTTCAGGATCCTGGGACTGAGCCCCGCATCAGGCTCTCTGCTCAGTGGGGAGCCTGCTTCCCCCTCTCTCTGCCTGCCTCTGTGCCTCCTTGTGATCTCTCTCTCTGTCAAATAAATAAAATCTTTTTTTTAAGTGATAATTAGCTAGTGTTATTATCACTGCTGCTAAGAAATGACTAAAACAACCTCTGTTGAATACTTTCTGCATTCAGTAACAAACATTTCAGAATGTATGTCAGTATTAGGTTACCTAGTTAACATTTTCCAATACACCGTGCTCTTTGAAAGCCCGTTGACTTTGTTAGTGATGTTCCTTTTGCCTGGAATGAGTTTCCTCATTGCTCAAAAACCAGCTTCTCACTGATGCCCTAGGCAAGGATAGTTGCCTCTTGGTTGCTACCTGTAGGATATGAGTTAAAACATCTTGTTTAGTTTTCTCCTCTGTCTCCTTAACTAGATTATGAACTCTTTAAGGACTAGGACTCAAGCTTATTCATCATTGTACTTCCCACGCTTAGCACAGTGTCTGGAACTCAGAAATGTTTACTGAAGGATATGTGCTTAATTTTAAATAGGAAAGAAGTAGAGGCAAGGGAAAATATTTTGGACAGACAAGCCATAATGATACTTCCTAATAGACTTGTATCTCCTCATGGTTTATTTAGCTGCCCTGATCCTAGGAAGATTCTCCATAGTGTAGTTAACTCCTTCATAGGTTCTTCCAGTTCTCTCTCCTAGCTGATGGATGTAATCTTATTACTCTCAGTGGTGTCTTTGGGCTCTGGTTTAAAAACTCAGCCTGTATTTTTACATCACAAAGATACTCTATATGTTCTATTTCCTTTATAGTTCATTACTCTCCAGAGAATCACATTTAGATCCTTATTCTCTCTGGAATACATTCCTTTATTTGGTGTAAGGTGGGGAGCTAGCCTATTTTTTCTCCAGATGGCAAGCCAATTTTTCTCTGAAATTCTACACAGCAGTATATCCCTTTCTCATTGGTTTTTGATGGCACTTTTATTGTATATCTTATTTCCATTTATATATGGCTCTGGATCTGAACTCTTCAGTTGGTCTCTCTGTTTATGACTACAACTGTCATAAATAAAACCTGTTGTTTTTACTTACCAAAACAAAAAAAACCCGTTGTTTTTATTTTCCAACATCTTATAGTCTATCTTAATACCTATAAGGGCAAATCCCCCCTTTTTGCTTTTTTTTTTTTTTTCAAATTTTACTTAATGTAAACCTTTGTTCTTCCAAATACTTCCTAGAACAAGATTGTTGAGCTTGTAAAATAAAAATCCCTTATTGAATTTATAAATTAATTGGTTGCATGGTCGTCACAGGTGGTCACTTCTCAGATATTCCTTCGAGAAAGGGCTCGATGCGCAACTGAAGGCATATAGTTAGCTGACAGCCTCCAGCTGTTAACTCCTAGGTTTATCTGAGCTTTCAAGCTGAAGTTACACTATTTTCAAGGCAGCCCCTTTTCCCCAAGCCCATTCTCAGCCAAAGACAGTGTCAGGTATTGTATAAGGACATACTCAACGTTGATGATAGAGGCTCTGTGAGATCTTGCATGGCAGTCTGACAGCTTCCCCTGCCCAGTCCTGCTTCCTCTCTTTCACTTTCACAAGTGCTAGTCTGCAGTAAAGCTTTTGCACTTCTAACTCAGCATCTCCCCGGAGAATCCAACTAATGACACAAGTTATCTGATTCATTCTATTTTTGTAAATTAAAGTCATAATTAATAACAAAATCTAGCCATACCTTCTGGCCCAATTGCTTCTTTGAAACCATCCCTATCCAACTCAATTTAATATAATCTCATCCCAACACATACCTTCTGGCAAGCCTAT